AACAGTAAGAGAGACAGAGAGAAAGGTCTTCCTTCTGTTGGTTCACTCCCCAAATGGCTAGAGCTATGCCGATCCAAAGCCAGGAGCCAGGTGCTTCCTCCTGGTCTCCCATGCGAGTGCAGGGGCCCAAGCACTTGGGCCATTCTCCACTGCCTTCCCAGGCCAAGCAGAGAGCTGGACTGGAAGAGGAGCAACCAGGACTAGAACTGGCACCCTACTCTTTCATTCATATCTGATTCTGTTATGCTTCCTTTCACCACCGCCTCCATTCTATATATGTGATATTCTTTTCATCAATCATTTGTACATTTGTAAACATTTGATTTTGATTTTCTTTACAAAACCAATTCCATGGGATTATTTTTAATTTTGATTCATTTTCTCTAGCTATACCAGATTTTTACAACTTTATAAATTTTGGTCAGATTGGTCTATGATCAATCTTGACTTAGGAAACTATGGAAATTTTTCCAAAAAGTACATCAAGATGGAAAACAAAACTGTTATTCTTTCACCTTGTTTCAACTGATTCTTTAGAGTTCACATATCTTCCTTCAGATTCAAATATCGCTTTTATTGTGGAGATCATTTTATCTATTCCAGCTACAGATGGGGTGTACCTGGACACTCCAGGTACACACTCAGTGGACTTTCAAGGTGGCGCTCAGTTGTTCTGCTCTCTGGCCTTCTGTGATCCCCTCCTTTGGAGGACTTGTTTCAATAGAATTGTTAAAATAGAATTCTCAAATTGAAGGGGTGGTGTACCCATGATTAGATTTTAAGAGATTCTAACTTTTTTCTTGCTAGCTGACTTTCTTCTTTGATGACTCTCAGGAAGCAAGCTGCCACTTGGTGAGCTGTCCATGGAGAGACAAATGTGGCAAGGAACTAAGAGCAGCCTCCAGGTGGCAGACATCAAGGAATGGATACGGCCAACAATCACATATGCTTGGAAGAGGGTCCTTCCACAACAGAGCCTTCCGAGGAAATGCTAGTCCTGCTTGCTGCCTCCACTGCAGTTTTGTGACAGATCCTAAAGAAGTGGACTCATGTAAGTCATGCCTGTATTCCTGGTCCACAGAAACCAACACAGCTCTATGCTAAGCAACTAAATTTGTAGCAATATGTTCCACAGAAATACCTAACCAATAGAGATGATTTCTCATCCCTTTGCACTTTTATGGCATTTCTGTGTGTGTGTTTGTATCACTTGTGAATTATTCATGATTTCTCCCCACCCAAAGTCTTTTTAGACTGTTATATATAATACTCCTTTATCTAAAGCTTTTCCATGCTTTTCATGCATTTCCCTTATAATTAAGTTAAAACTCCCCATTAGTGCCTGTAAGAATTGTGTGATCTGATCTCTGATTGAATTGTTCATTCTTCTCTAACCATCACTTCCCACCACTCACCCTTGTGCTTTTCCTCCAAACTGCTGCATTAAACTTCTTTCAGATGCTGCAACTTGTCATGCTTTCTCTCTTCAACTTGAACTCCTGCATTATATTATTCATTGTTCACCCTTGCCTTTTCCATCTCCCCATTGCTTTATTCACTTCCACTCATCATTCTGGATTTTTCTAAGAAAGCATTCCTGATCCCATCATCTTGGGATGTCTGCCTACCCAACCTCTTGTCTGTGTTAGTATGTCCTCTATAATTACCGAAGTACAGAGATAGAGTAAGCGACAGATCTTCCACTGCTGGTTCACTCCCCAAATGTCTGCAAAGGCTGAAACTGAGCCAGGCTGAAGCCGCAAGCCTGGATCTCCATCTGGGTTTCCTATGTTGGTGGCAAGTGCCCAGGTCCTGGGCCCATTCGTCCCCTGCTTTCCCAGGCATATCAGCAGAGAGCTGAATTGGAAGTGAGCAGCTAGGACTCATATAGGCGATGCTGGTGCTACAGGCAGTGGTTTAACCCACTGCACCATAATGCCACTCCCTGTTTTGTCATTTTCTTAATAGAATCAAAAACAAGTTTTGAAATTTGACAAAGTCTCATTTATCAATGTTTTTCTTTTATGATATTGCTTTTTGTGTCCTAGAAAATCTTGGACTAACTCCAAATCACAAAGATTTTATTCTTTGTTTTCTTCCAGAAATTTTACAGTTTTACTTTTTATGTTTAGGTCAGTCATCTATTTTAAGTTAATGTTTCCATAAGGTTTGGGATCCTTTCTTTTTTCAATAGAGGTATCCAGTTGTTCCAGCATTATATGTTGAAGAGACTATTTTCTCACACTGAATTACATTGGCATCACTATAGAAAATCAGTTGACCAAATATTTATGTATCTATTTCTGAACTTCAGGCTGTTGACAATGGCTGGAGCTCATATGATCACCTTGGTGGCCCTTTCAGCTGATATGTAATAGAGAAGGAGAACGTTTGGAAAGAACATAAGATTTCAGGATTTCAGCAGAAATTGAAAAGAGACATAGGAGTGTATTAATTTATGATCTGGCAACAAGCTATCTCCTTCCCATTTACCCTTTTCCCCACCCAGAACAAAGCACCTATCATATAGGACAGTAATTGTTCCTGGGAACCTTGAATCACCTTCAGGAAGACATTACTAGGTTGTTAGGAGCTTGCAAGCCACTTAATCAAATAAAATAATGTGATTCCCACTCCCTCCCCTTAGGTTTTCTTTGGACAACAGGTAAAAGTTGGGATAGGTGTATATTATGATTTCTGCATTCCCAGCCTGTTTCTTCACCTTGCTAGTATCTCCAATTAGGTGTATACAGGTGTCATGGCATTCAAGCTCTGTATATAAGTATAGATAAAGCTGTCATAAGAAAAAACATAATCAGGGTAATTCACATTCATGGTAACTCCCAAAGCTGAGAGCAAGTGCATATGAGGAATAAAAACACAAGACTAATTGGTCTACATTGATAAAAGGGATAAAATGGGTCCATACTTACACCTACATTTGTTCCACATACTATGCTATTTGAATTCACAGCTTACTCTGAAATGTCTTTGAGAGGTGCTGTTTGTTCAATGAATACATTTAAAAATAGTACCAGAGCCTTGACTGAACCCTGGGCCTCCCTAGCGGATTCCAGAGAAGATAGGAGCAGAATTCTTAGCATTTTACTCTCCTATGGTTGTTTTTATTTCATTTTTCAAAAGCAACCTCTCCATTTTCAGATAAACATTGCTCTTCTACAGGACACTGCTGTCAGGAAGCCTCATCTTGTGTTAGGTGAAAGCATCGTCTGTCTTGGCGGCTGTCTCCTCTATTAACCATTTCTGTAAAGCATTGCTAATAGAAGTTCAAGATGAACTTCCTGCAATCCACCATGCTCTGTGTCACCCCGAGAGTCTGACTCACCCTACAGGTATATTGGAACACTACTTGCACATACAACTCAATGACAACTTTTAAATCTGAATCATCATTTCACTATACTTTTCTTCTGTATCACATATAATAAATTTTGTTTGCATCAGTCTTGTGGCTATTATTTTGTTCTGAGTCATCTTGTGGTTATTCAGAATTTTTATTTTTTTCCCTAAGACTCTTTTATTAAACCCCATAAAGATAAATATTACAGTCTGCATATCTCTTTATTCTGCAAAGCCCTAATGCAGTATCATAGATTTGATTATATTCAATGTATATTTATTGAGGTGATATTTTTGTGTAGACATTAGGACTAATTCTCTATATACCAGTCATATTATCAAGCTTTCACTTTAGTTATATTGCCAGGGACACAATTATGCTCATAACCTATCCAGCTCTCAGAACTGAGGAGACAGATTTGACAGTGTGGGATGATTAAAATGCTTAATGTTCAATTAGCCTTCTTGGATTAAGTCTAGTAAAGGAAAAGGCAGGTAATTTAAAGTTGTATTATAGAGAATATTATTTTATAAAAACCTTAAGAGGGCAATTTGAAAAGGGCATTGATTGCTCAAAACTTAAAATATCCAAGACATCATTTTGAAACTACAAAGAACAGATAAAAGGATTATAAATATACTGGATGTAAGTGGTACAGACCAGAAAACTGAAAAATGCAGCAAAACTCAATATGAAGAATTTATTTAATCTCACAGAAGTAGAGAAAGGTGGACAATATAAATGGCTCCTAAATCTACAGTGACATCCATTATCATAAATTATCAACATGAGGAATGCTATGATACTAAATGTAATTTTCTTGAGTCATTACATTTCAAAGACATATCACAATACCAAGTATATAAAAATATAAATGTGTGAAATGAGAATGAATTTCCCCCACTGGGAAGCTGAGGAATTTGTACCTTTTGTGAAGCAGTTTGTGAATAAAATCGGTGACAGGAAAGAGTAGATCTATGGGTGCTGGTATGCTGTGTATTGTGTATGTCTCTTTGTGTACCCACCACTGTGGATCAAATGCTGGACCTTAGCTGAGTGAAATTAGCCATCAAGAGAAATAATCTGTTTTAAAAGATAGCTTCTGACAGTGCTACTGCTAATACAAAAATTTTCCAGCACTTAATCATTTTAGACTATTTTTTTTTTTTAGATTTTCTGGGTCAAATCTTGGCTTTTATACATTGTAGATGCAGTCTATGTCATAGAATGTGTGCTTTGGAGGGGATCTTACTGGCTATTGTATCCCACTCTATCTGATCTCATGAATCACTGCAAAATGAAGTGGCTGGTTCATCTGCAAATACTTCATTTGATTCCAGCCATTCTAAAAATTCATACTCTCAATTTGTACTCCAAATATCTTCCTGAAAGAAAATCTGAAATTTCGAGTGCTGGGAGGGAGGGGCTGCGTGCGCCCGGCTCCGTGTACGCGCGCGCTGCTTCGTGCGCGCGCGCGCTGCTCCGTGCGTGCGTGCGTGCGTGCGTGCGCGGGGGGGGGAGTGCCCAAGGCTGGGGGGGGCAGCAGCGCCCCCGCCCCCGCCCCACCAGCCTCCCTTTTTTTTTTTTTTTTTTTGCTCCGCGTGGGGGTGGCGCCCGGGTCTCCCCCTCCCCCACCCCCGTCTCTCTCTCTCTCTGTGCGCGCGCGCGGGGGTTTCCCGGGGGCGCGCGCGCGCGCGGGCGCCGGCGCAGAGCAGGTGCAGCCGCTGCCGGGCTTCGCCGAGGACCAGGCCATGACGCGGGCGTGAGCGGGGGTAACCCGGCGGGGGAGGGGGAGCCCGGCCGCCCGCATGGACGTCTTCAGTTTCGTGAGGATCGCCAGGAGCCACAGGACGAAGGCTTCGGGCTGGCCGCCGCCCTCGGGAACCTGGGGCTTGGACCCGGTGACGCCCTGTGGCTGGGAGACGATGACCAACCGCGATGGGCGCGACGGCTTCCTCAGTCACATGACCCAGGCCATTCCGTGTGACGACCCGCGGTTGGAGAGCTGCCAGATCCTCCCTCCAGCTCCTCGCACGGTGGAGATGCGGAGGGACCCCGTCCTGGGATTCGGCTTCGTGGCTGGAAGCGAGAAGCCTGTGGTCGTGCGGTCGGTCACACCGGGTGGCCCCTCGGAAGGCAAGCTGATCCCCGGGGACCAAATCATCATGATCAACGACGAACCCGTCAGCGCCGCCCCGCGGGAGCGGGTCATCGACCTGGTCCGAAGCTGCAAAGAGTCGATACTGCTCACCATCATTCAGCCTTACCCTTCTCCCAAATCGGCATTTATCAGTGCTGCCAAAAAAGCCAGATTAAAATCCAACCCGGTCAAAGTGCGCTTCTCCGAGGAGGTCATCGTCAACGGCCAAGTGTCGGAGTCTGTGAAGGATAATTCACTTCTTTTTATGCCGAATGTGTTGAAAGTCTACCTGGAAAATGGGCAGACCAAATCATTTCGCTTTGACTGCAGCACCTCCATCAAGGACGTCATCCTGACGCTGCAGGAAAAGCTGTCCATCAAAGGCATCGAACACTTTTCCCTGACGCTGGAGCAGAGGACGGAAGGCGTCGGCACCAGGCTGCTGTTGCTTCATGAGCAGGAAACGCTCGCTCAGGTGACGCAGAGGCCCAGCGCCCACAAGATGAGGTGTCTTTTCCGAATTTGCTTTGTCCCCAAGGACCCAATTGACCTTTTGAGGAGAGATCCGGTTGCGTTTGAGTATCTCTACGTTCAGAGTTGTAACGATGTTGTCCAGGAGCGCTTCGGGCCCGAGCTGAAATTCGACATCGCCCTGCGGCTGGCCGCTTTACAGATGTACATCGCCATGGTCACCACGAAGCAGACGCAGAAAATCTCCCTCAAATACATCGAAAAAGAATGGGGCTTAGAGACGTTCCTGCCCTCTGCTGTGCTGCAAAGCATGAAAGAGAAGAACATCAAGAAAGCCCTTTCACACCTCATCAAAGCAAATCAAAACTTGGTACCACCGGGGAAAAAGCTGTCCGCACTGCAAGCCAAGGTCCACTATCTCAAGTTCCTCAGTGACCTCAGACTGTACGGGGGCCATGTGTTCAAGGCAACCTTAGTGCAGGCAGACAAGCACTCCGAAGTGACTCTCCTGGTTGGGCCTCACTACGGCATCAGCCATGTCATCAACACCAAGACCAATCTGGTGGCTCTGTTAGCCGACTTCAGCCACGTGAACAGGATCGAGTTGTTTCCGGAAGAGGAGACTCTGGTGAGGGTGGAGCTCCACGTGCTGGATGTCAAGCCCATCACACTCCTGATGGAATCATCCGATGCCATGAACCTGGCCTGCCTGACCGCTGGATATTACCGGCTGCTTGTGGATTCCAGGAGGTCGATATTTAACATGGCCAATAAGAAAAATACAGGGACCCAGGAAACAGGCACTGAACATAAAGGAAAACACAACCTCCTCGGCTCCGATTGGAACTGTGGACCCCAAATGACCACCTTTATCGGCGAAGGAGACCAAGAAGGCCTGATCACGCATGCAGATGCCAAACGGAAGGCAGTGGACAGCACAGAGAGCCCCGCGTGTCCAAAAGACCACCGGCACTTGTATATTGGTGACGCCTACGAGGTAGAAGAACTTAGCCAGCGGCTGCCCCACCAGCCCGGTGATGCCGCCTGTGAGGCAGACGACTACCTCCAACGAGCCCAGAGATCCCGGCTGACCCTCTCGGGACCAGAGACCCTGAAGGACACACAGGACTCTCCGAGAGGAGCCCACGTGTCCTTTATTTTTGGAGATCTTGCCTTGGATGACAGCACAAGTTCCCCCACGCTCGGCTATGACGGACTATTGGAGGAGGGTCCCGACGTGCTGCTGGGGAAGCAGAGGAACGTCTACATGGGCAGTGCCCATGACGTGAAGAGCCTGGATCTCATTCCAGACGCAGAGAGGATCCGTTACGTGGCCGATTCTGTTTATGCCAATATAGGAGATGTGAACCACTTTGAGGCCCCCGAGGGGATGGAGGAGCCCCTTTTGCATGACCTCTGTTATGCAGAAAACACAGATGACGCAGAGGATGAAGACGAGGTCAGCTGCGAGGAGGACGTCGTGGTCGGAGAAGTGAATCAGCCGGCCATCCTCAGCCTGGCTGGGTCAAGCGATGACATCATCGACCTCACATCCCTCCCTCCTCCGGAAGGCGATGACCACGAGGAGGAATTCCTGTTGCGCTCCTTGAACATGGCCATCGCCGCACCCCCACCTGGCTTTCGAGACAGCTCCGACGAGGAAGACTCTCAGGGCCAGGCCTCGTCCTTCCGCAAGGACAAGGACCAAGGCGGCGGCTCGCACAATGATGAGATCCCCGTATCCCTCATTGACGCGGTGCCCACCGGTGCCGAGGGGAAGTGCGAGAAGGTACTGGATAATGCCGTCATGTCCACACTGGAGGCTCTGGACGCTCTGTCTGTGGCAGAAGAACAGCAGACCGGGGACGATTCAGGTGTAGCCATCCTGCGGGCTTACAGTCCCGAGTCCTTGTCAGACTCGGGCAATGAAACAAACTCTTCTGAAATGACCGAGAGTTCTGAACTGGCTGCGGCGCACAAGCAGTCAGAGAGCCTCTCCCGCATGTTCTTGGCCACTCCTGAAGGCTACCAGCCCCTGGCCGAAGAACAGACAGAGTTTCCCACCTCCAAAAGTGCGCGGGCTGCCGGTCCAGCAACCGATCTCCCCACCAATGTTGTGCCTGCCAAGCCGATGCTTCATTCAGACCCCATGGAGATGGAGCCTGAAACCATGGAGACCAAGTCTGTCACAGATTATTTGAGTCCATTGCACATGGGGTCAGTGACATATTCTTGCAAAAGCAAGAGGAAAGGCCAGCCGGCCGAGGTGGACGGGAAAGACCTACCAGGAAAGAGACAGCAGGGGACCAAAGGAACTGGCACAGAGGCAGATGCCAACGGTCACTTTGGGACTGTGTCTTCGAGAGACAGTCAGCACCTCAGCACTTTTAACCTAGAGAGAACTGCCTTTCGCAAGGACAGCCAGAGATGGTATGCGGCCACTGAAAGTGGGGTGGCAGATAAGAATGGATTGGAAGCAGCCACAGGGAACACCTTTTCGACAGCTTCTGCTCTTGGGCCAATGGAGCCCAAAGGGATGGAGGAAGGAGCTCCTGATGCAGGAGCCGGCGACGATGTTGCAGAGCTTGGCCAAGGGGAATGCTTGTTGAGCGACTCCACCAAAGACTTCACGAACCCAGAGGATGCGGACTCGTCCACCACCTGTGAGCAGCCTGCTGAGCTCGCCGAGGCTGAAGACGGCGTGGCCCACCTCTGCGGCTACCACTTGGCCGAACGGATGTCATCCCTGCAGAGTGAGGGCCATTTTTCAGAGGAGAGAGCCACAGGGCTTCCCAGCCATGGAGGAGCCACCTTTAAGGAGCTGCCCCCGCAGACAGAAGGGATGTGTCCGCCGCAGTTGACAGCGACGCCTCCTCTCCACCCAGCCATACACACTGACCCCCTGTTTGGCACGTTGAGAGACAGATGCCACCAGCTCCCCAAGATGAAGGAAACCACAGTGTAGCTTTGACAGAGCCTGGGAAGGAGAGACAAGGAGGCATGCCTTCGGCTCGGTCTCAACATCCTGAAGTGGATCCCATCCTGCTACCATCAAACATTCACTCGGAATCAAAGGTGCCAATTCCAAATCAAGACCCTCATGATGTGTCCCAAGAAAACCAGGAATATGGAGAGGTTGTGAGTAGGCAGTCACCAGATCTGAGAGGGGGGATCCTCAGGACACCCTCCAGCCAGAGGGCTATGAGGCATAGCAACACTATACTGTCAAGATCTGTAGGTTTGGAGGCCTTTCGAGCGAGAACCAAGGGTGCGGTCAGCTTTAAGTGTCCAGGTATCACAGAAGCACAGGAGACCAGTACAGAAAGGGGAGCAGAACTGCCCCTGGGGAAGAAGCTCACCAAAAGTTTTTCCCAAAGCTCAATGCACTTTAGCTCCGAGGGGAAGTGTCACAAAAGGTCCCCAGTGGCTCACAAAGACTCAAAGCTATATCCCACCTTATCCTTGTGGAAACCAGAGGGCAGCTATTGGAGGTGCAGGGGACCTTTCAGCTATTGTTTCCTGAACAGAGGGCAGGATGAAGATGGCGATGAGGATGAAGAGGGGGGAGAGGCCACCCACCAGGTCTCTTTCCTCTACCGACCACAGATGACTCAAGTCATGCCAGAACCACCCAGCCCGTCCCTGGCTATTGAGATTCAAAAGCAAGGAGAGGAGCTTTCCCAAGGTTCAGTGCTGAAGGTCTGGACAGAAGAACTGAGTGGCCCAGATGACTTCAGCCACCTGGCTTTGGATGCCCGGATTGCAAGAATCAATGCCCTAAAGGAGAGCACATATGCAATGCCTGATGGGTTCCTTGCAGCCCAAAATGATGCCAATGAGCTGCTCTGCCTCGTCAGGGCAACCAAGGGGAAGAGGGAAGAGTCACGCCTTGAAGCATATGACCTTACGCTTTCTCAGTACAAGCAACTGTTATCCATCGAGTCCAGACAGTTGGGAAGTGCCTGTAGGAAGATGGCAATGGCCAAGAAAAGCCCAGAGGAGATGCTCCTAGCTATGACTTCCAGCTTTCAAGTGCTCTGTTGCCTAACAAAAGCTTGCATGCGATTGGTTAAAGTCGTGAACTCAGAAACACAGCGGCAGGAAATTGTAGCAAAGATTGATGAAGTGGTCATAAACTACATCTGTCTCCTGAAAGCTGCCGAGGCAGCCACTGGAAAGACCAGTGGGGATCCTAACGTTGGACTCTCAATACGACATTCAACCACCATGGCCGCTCTTGTAAGCACACTAACACTTTCTCTCAAGATGCTTTTAAATAAGTAAATATGAAAGTCACATCATAATCTACCTTTGCAAAGCCATACACGAACTTTTATTTACTTTGTGTGTACGATGAACAGATGTCTCCTTTCTTCTCTCTGTATATTTTGTTATTTTATATAATAGGAGATAAAAGTCACACTGATGAAATGTTGATGTACTAATCAGATGTATTGTTGATATTCTACATATATATACATGTAAAAGAAATAAACAAGAAAGTGGTGACATTGGCTATTTTTCATATAGTCAGAACTCCAGGTGCATGATGTGAAATTTTAAATTCTACTATGTTAGAGCAAAAAAAAGAGTCCTATCCCCTTTCCTTCCAAGTGGATACTTGGAGACCATTGTGTTCATATTTAGGAATAAGAAACAAAACAAAAAAAACACAATGTATATAAAACAGTACTTATGTTTTAAAATTATTATGATTTTTAAGTATTGGAAATAGCAAAAAGACATTTAAAATTCAAGAAACTATTAATTACTAGAAATATATGTAATAAATTAATTTTTGCTCATAAAAAAAAGAAACTCTGAAATTTCATTCACTGGCTCCAATTCTGTCCAATTGAGCCACAGAGTTTAAAACCAATTTCACATCTGCATCAATGCCTTCTAAATATTTGAATTTAGTTCTCCATCAAACAATCTATTAAACTAGTTAAGTATTTCCAACTCCTACTAAGATATATAATTTTTAGTTCCCTCATGACCTTGGTCAATCTCAAACTGTTTCCTCTCTTTTGAATGAATTCTCATTTGTCTGTATTTTTAAAGCATGGTGACTCCCACTGCAATAGAAAAATGAACAAAATGTAGGAAGAGCCAATTCATGAAAGAGGAAATATAAGTTTCTAATAAATACACAAAAAAGCTAATTTTCATAGCGATCAATTAAATGCTAATTAAAAGAAGCTAATGTTTTACATATATAGAGTCGGCAGGGATAAAAAAAAAAACCACCACATTTGGCAAATGTTCAGGGAAGCAGGTACTGTTGTATATGAATAAGAAAAATGCATGAACTAAACTATTCATCATATAACAAAAAGTGACAAAGGGAGAAAGATTACATAGATTTTGTTAAATGTAGCTACTGAAAATCTTTTAGGATATTTTAATGACATCAGAGAAAATGTGATTTCTTACTAAGAAGTCAAAGCAGACTATCAAACATTATACACATTTATATAATTTTATTAATAATATCTACAGAAAAATGATTAATATTGGGTAGTGTGATAATGAGCATCATATCTGTCTATTCAATATTTTTGCCAAGGAAAATACATTACTTGTCCAATCATAAAGTGAATTTTAAAAAGCTTTAAAAATACTTTTAGCAATGGTATGATCTTGCTATTCATTCCTAGACTCCTTTTCTATCTGTCTAAAGGTCAATAGTGACCTTTTAAGTTGCCCTATGTCCTATTAAAATGCCCTACAACTTCCAAATATACTCATGACTATTGCTATTAGATCAGATTCATGACTTTTTGCTGAATGTGGTTTTTCAGTTGTTTCTATCAAATTCTGTTTGATTTCATTGGACTCAAATGTGGTGGTATTTTTCTACTGTTCTGTATTTAACAGCTATTTGCATGACATTAATGTTCTCATCCAACATTAATGTCCTGTGCCCATCAAAGATGTGGAGTATATTGTTCTTAAAAAGCTAGAGATAAAACCCATCATAATTAGCATTATTCAAAGATGTGTTGGCCAAACAGTTTTAGTCTGAAGTAAAACTGGCACTGAATATGAAAGACTGTTCTAGCTAAATTTAATTATAAGTGGTATACTTCTGGAGAAATATAGGCATTTGAAGGAGAATTATTGTGGAAGATTATATAGATTTTAAGTGGTTTCATAAGCATGGAAAGTGGGATATTTGAAAAAGTTTATCAATTATAGATGCAAGAGCTCTCAACATGTATAGTATGGGGTGAACACTATGACACAGTGGTTAAGTTGCCATTTGGGACACTTGCATCCCGTATCAGAATGGTGGGGTTCAGGTCTCAGCTCTGCTTTGCTTTCCAGCTTCTTTCCACACCCTAGAAAGCAACAGGTGATGACCCGTTTGGAGTTTCAGGCTCCTAGTTTCAGCCTGGCCCAGCCTTGGGTGTTCTTGGCATCAGGACATTGGGGAGAGAATTAGCAGATGGAAGATCTCTCTCTCACTCTCCTCTCCCTCCTGCCTTTTATTCAAAAACAAAAGAACAAAAAAAAATGTATAATATGAAAAGCTGCTGGGAGACACTGTTTACTCAGATTATTCAAGAAATTTAGTCATGTATTTAGGGATAGTGAAAACTATCACTCAGATTAGACTAAACAACAGCCTTGTAAAGCAGCTTAAGACAGATTCTTAACAGTAGTTACAAATACTTAGAAAGTTTCAAATCTGTGTCATTTACCAACCAGACACCATAGTTTCTTGTCCTTTAAAGGAATTTCACATTGGATTGAAATAAGGTAAATATTAGCATATTCTCTTTAATTATTTTGTTTTTACAGTCTCAGATAATTTATCTCAATGGGTTTAGAAAATATATATATTACTATGTAAAGTACTTTTTTCATGATAATGAATAATTCCTTATTAGTTGAGAAGGAAATTTGGGATACAAAATTCTATTTGATTTTATGGACTCTGACTTCTACATATCTTTTAAAGAAAATACTATCAAACATTAGAAGTCACGGGAAATGTTAGAAAAGTGTCAGGAGAGAAGGAAAGAAGCATTAAGTCCTCTCTTCTTGGGAATATAGGCTGGAATGTTTTGGTGAGAGCCATTCTGGCTACGGCATATTAGTAAATTTTAAAAAAATATGTTCCTATGCCAATGAGAAAAAAACATAAAGAGGAGTGAGAGAGAGTTGCAATTTTAAGATTTCCAAACCAGCAATTTCATATTTTACTTGAAAAAAAAAAAAAAAAACTCATCATGGCTCTGCAATAGACTTGAAAACCAAAGGAGAGTGGAAAAGAAATGAGTTAATCAGGAGTAAAGATGGATCTATTTTACGTTAGCCATAGATCGTAAAGACATTAAAAGTAATGTTACGTACATTGTTGGTAGAGTTGATTCGCTTAAAAGTGTATCTAGCATATCAGCTTTTCTCTTTGCTTCCTTGGGCAAAAGAAATCATTTCCATTTTTTTCAGCAGAAAAGAACTTAGGTCAGCTTTTGTTCTGCAGTTTATTCTGTTTCATGTGTGGTTACTGACATGTGTGTAGAAAAAATTTTTTTTTCTCAAGTGCTCCTATATTTGAGCAAAGATAATCAACACAAATAAATTGTTGCAGAAACTGAGAAATTTTTTGACCCTATAACCTCATGTTTCAGAATACTGTGGTGGAAATTGCTACATGTTCATCAAACCCAGTTCTTTTTCCTACTGAGCCCACAATTTGAAAACTGCCCATCTCACTACCAGGCCGTGAGACTGAATCTGGCCGATGGAATGTGATGGAGTGATGTACACCACTTTCAGACTTGCCCAAAACCTCTCCAACACAAAGTCCCTCTTAGTCTTTCCACATGAGCAGGCCAGATGGTGGAGGGTGAAGGGACTAGGAGAGCACAGCTACCTGACAGAAGATGCCCCGGTCTCTGAGTTGCCCTTGGAGGTTGGCTGGTTGGAGAGGAGAGTCTATGTGGTGCTCATCTTTTGGGAGGAAGCAAACCTATTCTGTTAGGCCACTGAAATTGTGGGTTCCTTGGTTACATCTGTTAGCCTTCTTCAATCAAGTATAGACTTCGGGCTACACCGCCTTGGTTCAAACCTCATTCTATCACTAGCTGCATGAACTTGGGCAAGCTATTTCACCTCTCTGTGCTTCAGTGTCCATAGAGGTGGAAGGGCAGTAATAATGCAGTGTTGGGGATTCAACATAGAATAAAGCCCTTTAATAACCTGGCTTATAAATTATTGTTATTTCTGAAGAAGACTCTCATTCTGAGGTCACATCCAAGTATGGGAATCTTATAGAGTTGGATAGAGCACTATATTTTTAAAATGCAAAATTATTCAGTTTTAACACTCAACTGCAAAAGTGTTGTGTTTTATGGAAAGAAAATAAGGGAGGAAAGGTGATATTAAAGGAGGGAGGGGGAAAAAAGGAGAAAAGGAAGGAGGAAAGAGGGGAGTCTTACCTATTTTAAGCAGCTGGAGGGCTAATATGACTTTGTAAGTAGGTCTGACACAGCAAGGAAGAAAACCCACCTCAGCATCAGAGAGTTAATGTGGACCTAAACAATGCTGGGGGCTGACCAACACTTTCTCTAATTATTATCTGTGGCAATTTTTTATATCTTTCTCCCTTGAATATTTAATATCCCCTACCACTTTCCCCTTTAGTGACAATTACTCTTTATGCTTTGTTAACATATGCTGTTGTAAAAATAAAACAACTTAAAATACACTAACAGACCTTTGCTGCATCAAAAGCTTTATCCTAAGACATGGTGCCTATAAATAAAGCAATGTGATACCAGAAAAAAATCCCTCACCAGATGCACAAAAGGGCATTTACTGTCTCTTCTATAAATAGGAAAAGATTACAGGTTTTTCAAGTGAATGAGAGACTACAGCAAAAATGTCTGAATTCAGAAAAAAGATTATAAAATATACTGTATGTAATAGAAATGGGTATTTACTCAGTAGCAGTGACAACAAAGTTAAACACAAGGAAACTAGTGCTTTGGAAGCTGGATAGCAAGAAACAGTGAAATGCCCTGGTTTTCATCCCTCTGGGGTGAAACTGCTCATTTGTAGGCAAATCTATGAATTTGGCAGTGACTGTTTATCACCAAGGTGTTCTTCACCTCTATAAAGTGAGCTTCTGTCTTCCTGGAGTCTCCAAGGCATGAACAAAAGAAGAAGTGTCCATGGAGAAAGAACTTTTCTATCTCAAAAATGAATTGTGCCTATTCTGAAGACGAAGAGAAAAACCAGTAGAGGACCTGGAAAAAGCTAAATGACTTTTCTGCACTGTTACAGTGCCCAAGGACAGTTCCGACCCGATGCCTTAGCAATTTACATGGAATTTTACTCTGGTGAGTTTTCCACGTTTCAGCTAAATAAGCAACAGGACAATAGACCATTTCTGAGCCACAGGAAACCATCTTCAGAGTTTCAAAATTCTCCACTTCTAATAGTATCAGATAAGTGAACTGTAAAGAAAAAAAGGCCTCTCAACTTGTATGCTGATTGAATCTTGTGAGGCATCTGGAGCTTGCATTTATCTTCCCCACGGATATGTGGGGTCAAAGGTCATGTGCAGTGCAGAGATAAGCGAGAATCAGAAGGGCAGGACTTCACTAGCTAGAGGTAGTGGATTATTTCTTTTTTTGTTTGTTTGTTTATTTTAAATATTTATTTATTTACTTGAAAATCAGAGTTATACAGAGAAAGGAGAGGCAGACAGAAGAGGTCTTCCATCCGCTGGTTCACTCCCCAGATGGCCCCAACGGCCGGAGCTGCGCCGATCCAAAGCCAGGAGCCTGGAGCTGCTTCCGGGTCTCCCACGCAAGTGCAGGGGCCCAAGGACTTGGGCCATCTTCCTCTGCTTTCCCAGGCCATAGCAGAGAGCCGGATTAGAAGAGGAGCAACCGAGACTAGAACTGGTGCCCATGTGGGATGCTGGCGCCTCATGCCAGGGCACTAATATGCTGTGCCACAGCAATGGCCCCAGTGGATTATTTCTCTAAACAAGGTAGCTCAATTGGTTTGAAGATGAGGACACTTCTGCTCTGGGCCAAAGCTGAAAACAGAGTGTGCCAGCTTCACCAGAAAACGTCCATCACTCAACAGCCGGCTCCTAGTTATCAATGACTTGATCATCCTTGATAAGAAAAAGGAAGTAAGAAACTCACCTTTATGTTCTTTAAACTAGTCCTAGAATTTCATAGTAATAGAACATGGCCCAGTCTTTGCAGCAAACATAGAGAATATAGATAACTACTGGGATATCTTCCTTTGTTTGTGGGAATATTTCTATACTCCAGAGTGGGGTTCTCTGAATTGGAGTAGAATCAATGCTGATTGGAGACTGTGGTTTCTATGAATAGACTGGGATTCAATTCTATTTTTCCAGCGGTGATTCTGTACTTAAAAAAAAAAGGGGGTGGGGGGCCGGCGCCGTGGCTCAGTAGGCCAATCCTCCACCTTGCGGCGCCGGCACACCAGGTTCTAGTCCCGGTCAGGGCGCTGGATTCTGTCCCGGTTGCCTCTCTTCCAGGCCAGCTCTCTGCGGTGGCCAGGGAGTGTAGTGGAGGATGGCCCAAGTCCTTGGGCCCTGCACCCGCATGGGAGACCAAGAGAAGCACCTGGCTCCTGCCTTCGGATCAGCGCGGTGCGCTGGCTGTATCAGCCATTGGGGGGGTGAACCAACCGCAAAAAGGAAGACCTTTCTCTCTGTTTCTCTCTGTCTCTCACTCTCTCACTGTCCACTCTGCCTGTCAAAAAAAAAAAAGGTAGTTGTAAAAGTATTACAAAAGGAGACATGATATGAGAATGTGAGTCTCAGTACTGTCATAAGGCTGTTTCATAGGCATAGGCATAGGCAAATCATTTCACCTCTGTAGGTGTCATTCTTCAACTCCAAGGTGGAGGAGCTAGATTGCTTGGTTTTTAAGGCCTCTTTCAGCTCTAAAAGTCTAGACAATGGCTGCCACTTACTCCTTCACTCACTGGATCTATGTACACTATTAAAATGATGAGGTCTTGCCTTTAAAAATTGCAATTAAGGACAAAGCATTTTTACCCTCCATGCTCTGGGAATGTAATTAATTGTGGTGTTAAGACTTGCAAACAACTGACACTGGACAGCATAGTTGATTCTTTGCATTAGACATGTCATATTAAATGCTAGATGTGTATGTTTAAAAAAAGAGCAAGCTGTCTGATTATGTTTTCCTGCTTATCAAAATTAAACTGATCTTATAATTAACATCCAATTTACATCACCAGATGAAGTACTTGAGTGTGTTTTTTTCTGAGAAGTAATGAGTGAGTCTGTTCTGATGGCTTTATACTTCTTGGAAGGTCAGCAGATCTCCAATTCAAACTCTAGCTCCCACATCAGCTGATTCATGCCAAATTCTCAAACAGTAATCTCCTTATATAATTTTCTTTTTTCACAATGGTCACAGTTCTCTAGCTATGTAATAAAAATCATGCAAATCCCAGTTTTGCTTATGCTAAAGAGTGGCTTATTTGAATAGGAGGACCAGTGTTCATTTACTTCAGTGTGAATGAAGCTTGATGCAATGTTTTTCAATGTGACTTTACTAAGCTGCAATCGGCAGAGCCTTACGATACAGATTGCTATACTTGCGAGTCTGATTTGTGACAACTGTGGCATCTAATTGTGTCCTTAGTTCTAGATTTAGCAGTTTCTTTAGCTTTATTCTTTTGGCCAGTTTTGAATATGATTTTATGTACTCTTAGCAATCAGTACATTTAATTTGGAATTTTGCTTTTTTCATCAGAATTCAAAATGTAACGCAACAGATTTTAGATGCAGTCAAAAATAGAGACTTTTGTGATTCACGCATATCAATGGGAATATTGGATTTCATGTATGTCTTTATATATAGTTATGAGTATATATGTGGATATACTTTCACACATACACTTAAATGAATTCTGTGTGTATTTGTGTGTATTAAATATAATATGTATTATATGTAATATATGATACTATATATATATACAAATATCCTCCCAAATCATTCCAAATTCTTTAAAAGTACTGATAGCAATAAAATATTGCTTATTCACATTATCAATGTGACAATGTGAATTATTACTACTTGTAACCAGGTTAACTTTGAAAGGATTCAAACATTCATCACAAAAATTCTTTATAATTTCCTTGCTTTTTCTAGGATTCTGAAGAATTAGAAATAATATTTACCCTAATTTTTTTAGCTTGTGTAATTCAATGCCTATTACAAAAAAACATGGCCATTTTTCATAGTCCATTTGCCTTGGATAGTATTAAAATATTTTCTTTTCTACAGATTTTAATGAACTTCTGGTCTACATATGCATCAGCTATAAGTTCAATCACATTTCCCAATGTTTAGATGCTGGAGGAAATCTCTTTCAGTTGATTAGAACCTGTAGAATTGACTAGAAATTTGCAAGACAAAACACTGTCCTGGAATTGCTCCTTTGTAAGTTCTCTGTCAGTAAATTTGAGCGGAAAAAAGTCTTCTCAACATGAGAGAAACTAGACTTTGTATTGCCCTTAGAAGTAGAAAGCTGGAATAATGGAGAACATGAACAGGAAGTAGAGATTAATTAAATTATTTACTAAAAAAAAGTCATGAAATTCTATCAATGTTCTGATCATACTGGAAATCATTCTTTTGGGTATCCAAATTGAGAATAATGTGTTTTTTTGTTTCCTGCTTTCAGGAAAGAGAGAGAGAGAGAGAGAGAGAGAGAGAGCGAGAGCAAAAGAAAAAAAAAAAAGAGGAGAGGGGAAGTGAGAGAGAAAAAAGCCCACCCTAGTCCTGCAAAAAAACACTGTTGATGAAGTATGGTGCCTGCTATTCCATGCACACCCACTGCCCACAGTGAGTAGGGCAGAGTACTGCAAAGGCCCCCTTTGTCTGGAAAAGCTGTGATAAGGCAGCAGGGTAAGGAAGTTTTCTCTTTTTTTTTTTTTTTTTGAAAGCTTTTCATCAGTAAGGGCTAAAACAGAGTTGACTCTCCAGTCACTAGAAAACCAAATAAATTACATTATGTCATTTCCCGAAGCATTCTGATTAATTAAGGATTCCTTTTTATTTTAAAAGTAGAACTTCAGTTTCACAACAGGGGGAAAAAACAGCCTGTATTACAGTTTTAACCTTTGTATCTATTTTTCCTTTAGTTGGCATTTCTATCCATCATTAACTAAAGAAAAAAGAAAAACAACTAACATTCACAAAACTGAAAATCACATAAGGAAACAATAAAATAATAACTTGCTCCAACAATGGAACTGGAGCTTGGTAATTTTATGGATGAGTACTGGGGTATCATAATAGCAAACAGAGCAGAAAAGAGGGTTTTACCTAGGATGGCACATTCTAATGATAGCTCATGATATTTAGCACTGATACAGACCTGCTCAATGCACCTGTGGTGAAATGCATCATTGCTTCCAGCCTCCAAAATAGTCTTTAAGTTGAGCCTGGCTTCTGTCTGTTGAATCATTGTGTGTGGATGTCTTTGGATTCTTAGCTATTCTTTTAGCCAGGCAACACTCCAACATTCAATTAGCAATTAGTATACAGTGAAGAGAGTTGTCTCAAGACTGGGACAGGAAACTATATTTCTCTGCTCTCAGTATTTCCTGCTGTCCCTGCTTCCTCAGCTTTTCCACATTTGAACAGATCCATTAAAAAGAAAAATCAAAAGTACCTAAGCTCATAATCTTAGTCAATGGCCAAGAACATATTTTTGTGTGTGCAATCCTGATATAATATATTGCATTTGGCACTGAAATCGATTGCTTACTAGTCTACATAAATGTTATCCTATACACATATTAGCAAGAAAAGCAATCTGGAATAAGTCAGAACAATTAACAAATTATAGATCATGTACTTAACAGATGGCACAGTGGGTGGGCAATAATCCCAAAAAATGGGCATGGCCATCACATGGTACAGCATATGTAAAAGGATTCTAAATGACAAAGCACTTTGGATAGTAAGGTCATTATTTTTGTTGTTATTATGGTATAACAACTCATACACAATGGGGAGAATAAGCCCCAAGAAGGCAAAAGCTCTGGTCAGATTTAATACAAAGACTCATTTTCTCTCCATGTCTAAGAGTTGGCACTTGGCAATACTAATACAATGTATGGAGTGAGACATCTTGGGCCTATAAAATAGAAATTTGATTATACAAATATATATTATGAAGTATGATAGGATATAAATTGATGTAAAAATATGCTTTGCTTTCCCTGTTTCATGATTTTAAAAAGCATATACACTTGTGTTGTTGGATGTTGAAGTAGAGTTGGGAGACCCTTTGGTTATATTTTAGGAATGTTTTCACAGTATGTGTTACTACAGTGTTGAAGTTGGTATCTTACATGTTAAATAGCCTTTGGACATCATTAGGATTCAACAAAAATAACTAAACATTAACATAGAGCATTCTAATAAATGTTTAGTTATATTGTTTTGGGCAGTAAGAATGGAGTGGTGAGAGTGGAAATTCATCAAACTTACTACTTGGCTAATTGTGAATTTAGTATTTGAGATATTCAAGTGACTCCAATGTGTAGGAAGTCCATGATATCTTCATTGTTAATTGGGTAATGGCCTGAGGCTTTAGCTGTAGGAAGTACTACAGAAAGATGGTGTATAAGGAAGAGATATTTTCCCTTCCCCAGATTAACTAGTAGCTGTGGTAAGATACTTGTACCCTGATAGCATTTCCTTGGGTCAGTGTTTGTGACAACCATTCTTCAAGACAGGGGAGCTTCTCAAGTTCAAGAAGCCATGGAGTCAATAACCTTGCCTCGTGAGGCCACATTCCATGACTTTTGGAAGTTACTGCTTAAGAATTTTGAGCAGCTACCCTGAAGGGTAATCCCATTTCTCTCGTCACAGTTGTCATGTCACTGGCCTTCATTTCAATTCCAGTTAAAATATAAAGTGCAGTGTGTAGAGCTGAACCTTCAGAAAGAACACAATGAACACAATCACCCTCCACCGCATCCCAGTTGAAATTACTAGCAGATTCACCATCCACATCTGAGAATGTACAGGAACTTGATCATCATTGTTGTCTTTATCATCACCACCATCATACCAGCATCACAGTTGCAGTATCATGACCATGTCAAGTATAATGGCAAGATCAGAGAAACCAACATCAGGACACTGTCCAGTTTGGATGTGTAAATATTATCCTGTGTTTCTTGGCCCATTTTGCAAACACTTTCTTTTCAGTGATAAACCTATGCCCCCCATATGGTGCATGTTCATGAAGAAAATATTCATCACATTCGTCTCGTCCTTGTTCATAGTAGTGGTAGGGGACTTTTCTATACCCTTCGGTCCTAGAAAAGAAAATAAAACAGAAAAAGAGAGAAAGAATGAGATGAGGAATAAAGCATTCATTTACAAGAATCCATTATGCACCCAATAAATGCATTTCCTTGCAATCCCAGACATGATTCTTGTCCATGAACACAGTTAAAAGCTATTATGTATGAAAGCTTTTAGGAAGATGAACTAGGTTCTTAGTGCTTTAAAAGATCAAATAAAATTTATACATCACACCAATTACATTTAGACATATGGCCATCCTTTGAAAGAGGAAATGGTATATAATGGAAGCAAACTCTGGAGAGAGGCAAATATTCTTACATAAACTCTGTGATTTTTCACAGCAATGTTCTGGGTTCTTCTGTGCTCCATTATGCCCTTAGACAAGGTTGATGTGTTTGTTCATAAAGATTGTGACTAAGAGCTACATTTTGACAAAATGATTAAAATTGTTTCTGAATTACATTGTCAATTGTTGAAAGAGAAATACAATTTATCACCTTGATGAAACATGGGATTTTTTTTTTTTTATCTAGTTAGAAAATATCTGAGGTCAGCATTGTGGTACAGTGGGTTAAGCCAGCACCTGCATTGCAGCCATCTCAAATGAGCACCGTACAAGTCCTGGCTGTTCCACTCCTGATCCAGCTCCCTGCTAACAACCTGGGAAGATAGCAGAAGAAGGCCCAAGTTCTTGGGCCTCTGCCACCCATGTAGAAGGCCTGAATGAAGTTCCAGGGTCCTGACTTTGGCCTGAAACCCTAGCTGTTTGGGGAGTGAACCAGCAGATGGAGCATTTCTCCACCCCCCCCCCATCTCAATTTCTGTCTGTAACTCTGCCTATCAAATAAATGAATAAACCTTATTTTTCTGAAAAAAATCTCTCTGCACAGGATATACTATGAGTAAACAGTCATTTTAAATAAGATCTGGCCGATTATTCACTTAGTGAAATATAATTTCCAAGAATTCTTGTTAAACTGTCAGTTTGTCTCAGGCTTCAGGACATTTTGTCCTTCATGATCAAATATAACCCTTGAGTCGATGGCCATCCATCAAGCCATTAGGCCAGCAGAAATGACACACTTGCTTTTGCAAATTAAATAACTACTAAACTTTGTTCTGCATTTCCTAGCTGAAAGTCCCTGATATGCCAAGGATGAAGGGAAAAGTGTTCTTTCTGACATATGGCATTTGATTGTGGTAAATATTTTTCTTTTTATCACTCCTAAAAGTCATAATTTGATGCACTGACAATAAAATGTCATGTCAGCAAAGAACACCAGGAAATAATTGTTGCTTTGTCTGTTTCTCAGATTTATGGTATTAAAATGAATTGTGATATTTTGACAAGATATCAGAATTGGAGCTGCATAAAAATAATTTCCTGTGATCTTACTTGCAGTAGGTGTCATTTATCATCCCGTAGACGTGAATGCCGTAACAGGCATCCATGGCCAGAATGAAGGTAAACCACCCCGTGCTGAGATAAGAGCCAGACTGGACTCTGTAGGGGAAACAGAAACAAACAACAGACAAAACACAGAGAACACATACAGAAAAAATAAAGTGTGATGAGAAACGAGCAACATTTTATCAAAAACATAGTACTTGTTATCAGGAAAAAGCATTAAGAAACTTGACAATCTGTCAAGGATACACACTTATTTTGAATTATCTCTGAATAATTTATAGGCATGCTCTTGCTCTTACTAGCTTAAGCCTCAAAGCGATGTTGTGTGGAAGAGAAGCCATATGGCAAATATCTGAAGTCAAATAATCCTGCTCCCTTCAGGTGAAAAATAGTTTATTTGATTTTTCCGTAAGACACAAATTAGTGTTGTGTATCAGAGGACAGGTTTTCTAAAAGAGTTTGGAGCCCTGATGGGAACTAAATGATAATGGTGTTATCTTGCTTACCTGGACGTATTACTTTCTTGAAGGCTCCTTGGGTTTCTAAGTGTAAATTGGAAGCAGTGAGGGTGAATGACTTGGTCTATAAATGTATCTGGAAAGTTCTCCTAAAGTGCCTTCCTGGTATCATGAGATAACACTTTGCTTTTGCAAGACCCATGTTACCAGCTTGTTCAATACATTTTTACTGAGCCCCTACTATGTGTCAATCACTCTTTTAGATAATGGAAATACACAAATTATTGAAAAGATCAAAACTTCTGTCTTCATGGAGGCCAGAGGACTCGATTTTAGTGTAGCTATGTGATAATGGTTGGTCAAGAAAGACTTCTTTTATGATGGGAGCAGAGATCTGAACAGAAAGTGTGGGTGGGGAATGGTGGGGCATTGGAAAGAAGCCACGTGGACCACTTGAGAGCCAAGTATTTCAGGAACAGAACACATCAGAGACAAAATCACAGACGTGGAAATGTGTCTGGTATGTTCAAGGACGAGCTGGGAAGGATGGTACCTGAGGGGGAATGCTCGATGTAGTGCAGACTGGAGGAGTCTGCCGAGTTCCAAAGGGTTCAAGGGAATATTCATTGAAAACTTGGATCTCCACATTTGTCTTTACCAAGGTGACCTCGACCATCCAAAACAGTTGACTGCCTATCTCTGTAAAATTCTCCCCACAGACCAATTCGGGTCAAGTGTGCTGGGTCAAGTTTGCTGGTGGAGCAAACACCTCTAGAAAAGACTAAATACCTCCCGTCTTTCATCCGGATTTGCTGGCATAGTGGTGCACAGCCAGTTCTAGGAACTGACACTCAGACATTGATGGCCACTTCCTGGGTGCAGCCCTCCAGCGGCCAAGTTGCTCCCTACTGATGCCCAATATTGTCGATGCACTTCCTCATACCCAAGCCCTCTGTGTGCTACAATTAGGACTCCTGAATTTTTTGGTGCTGCTGCTGCTTTTTTTTTGCAAGCATTATTGAGTATCAAGTTACAGCATGCCAAAATTTTACTAGCTACACTAGTTACAGGGGGCTGAAGGCTGGATATCTTATCCTTTATGTTTGTTGTCTTTAGGTGATTGGTAAGGAGAGACAGACTTAGCTCAGGTATAATCCCTCTGCCTGCTTGTCACTGAGCTTTAAATGCTAATACAGAAGTAGCCATTCCTTCGCATCTCCTGCTTTTTGTCTCCTGAATATAAAGCATTACAGAAGGTGGACACCACGGGTCACTCACACATTTCTCTGTGATAGGAATAGTAGTAGCAACCTAGTTCAGGAGTAGGTGCTGCAAGGGTGGGAAGACAGGACTGTGAGGTGAGCTACACTAAAGAGCAACCGTGCTGATTAAAGGACTTAACCTGCATTGAATTCTGCAACCTGGGACCCGACGAGGGGCAGCAATGATGGGAACTGCCTGAAACGCCATCTGCTTCAGAAGTCCTTATTGGAAAGCAGGGAGAGATCAGAAGAGAGAAATGCCTTGACAACAAGCTCCCAAATTGAATCTAGGGATTTGCCTAGGTACTGAATTGGTGTGGTTATTCTTCCTACTGAACTGTGTGCTCCTTTCCCTTCTCTGTGCTTTCTTGTGTGACTTTGTCTTCCTTCCCCTCCCTTTCTATCCTCTCTGTCATTTATCATTACTAGGCTTACCCAGCACTCACAGAGGTCAGAATTACAGCATTTATCTGTTTGTACATGATGAGAAAAAAGTCTCACTTATTCACCCACTTGTTCATGTTTTCCCAACAAAGGTTTTAAGGGGTCTTATGAGCCACAGACTGTGCTAGAAGCTGGTGGTGAATGTTTTCTTAAAGAGAAAATGATCTACTGGAGGAGGTCCATATATTACAACAATTTATCACCATATAAGGTAATAAAACCCAAGTCCATGTGAGTCAAGGTCAATGCAGAGTGCAGAACAGAGCTGAAGTGAGGACACCTGGTTTCACCTTGCAGCTTTACCAGGACTGAAACATGAAGCTTTGGACAACAATAGCCTCTTTGATTCTAAGTCAGATAATAGAACGTGGTCCTATCTGAGGATTTCTCCTATTTTAAAAATTAAATCATTCTTAATAATCTATGACCAAGTGTTAATCAAGTTAGGCAGTACCATGTTCTGTGCACACTGGACGTTACAATTAATGAACACATTATTCTGTTGATCCCAGTTAGTGCTCACTTGCATGAGGGGCATGACTGTACATGTGTGGTGTTTGTATAAAAAGATAACATCTTCACATGGAAACTCTCATGGAAAGAAGCTCCATGTTTCCCTCACAGATTCATTTATAGAAGGGGTTGGAATGGCTGTCCAAGCACACAACTGAACCATAGGACTGAGGATAAAGTTTAGTATGAGTAAGAAAACAATAAATCTAATTTGGGGAAAATTGCCTTTCCTTTAATGTGGTCCTTTGATGGAAAAATCAACATGACATGTGGGGACTTTCAAAAGCTTGGGGGAAATGCATATCAGAAAAATATGCAACACTTAAAAAAATTTTACATACCAAAATTAGTCGATCTTTTAATTGCATGTTTTCTACAAAATTTCCGAAGTTCCCTTGTATCACAGCTCAGGACATGGGGCAAAGGATGGCAGTGGGAAGAATACTTTGTGCGACACATGGACTAATACTCTGCAAAACAAGCCTTCCTGCCTTCCACCCCGGAGAGTCATTCTTAAGAGCTCAACAGTAAGCTTTGCAATGAAGCCCTCAAAAGATAAATAGGATGTGCCTGTTGTAGGGGCTCTGCTGTTTATATATCATCTCTCCCACAGAATAGAGGGTCCAGAAGTTCCGGGTTTGGTATATGGTCAAGACCTTTCCATCATACTACTCACCAAGAAAATTTTGTTACACTTCTGATACTTGATTCCTTTTAGGTCTAACCTGATTTATTTTGTTTCTGGGTAGACAGACCATGCTAATTAGCCAGAAAGCTCTTCAAACAGTGTGTTGCAAGTGATCAGACTGGGGAGGCTATCCTGCCCAAGTGCCCTGACCTACAAACAGCACTTAATTAGACAGTTGCATTTGTTCTCCCTGATGTCTCTAACAAATTTGGGATGTGGTATCCCATGAGGTTTGCTATCCACTCTACATGCTGGAGTTAGCACAGTGGTTTCTTTTCAAAATACTCAGAGCTAATGTCCATATAATGATGCTTGCAGGGGAATAATGACAATTGCTGGATGAATCCAGGGATTCTAGTGATCTGCATCCCTAAAGGAACTCACTGGTTTCGATGGATCCAGCCTTGGGAATTCTTGAAGCTGCACCACTTCCAAGCTTCCCTATTCTGCTGTGTGGCCAAAGTACAAATAAGGAAGTATAAAATATACCAAAGCAGACCCTTTAAAGTTCAATGAAAACAAAAACAAAAAGACTTGGAAGGATGTATGTGAAACTGGTTATGCTTTTCAGCTTGGAGACACCTTGTGATAATTAAGAAATTACTTAAATATTTCTTAAAGGTCTTCTCTTGGGCCAAATGTTGTACATTGTCACTCATGCATGCTGTACTATGTACCAGCTGGCCATCAGCCACGGCACTTTTTCATACCTTCTGCATTTAAGGATTGATGAAAGCCATAATTGTCATCCACAAATAAGCAATCAAGATTCCCATAGGGATGGTAAGAGAATTTAGCCCTTAATTCAGTACAATAAGAAAGCTTAAATTAATGCAGCAGAATAATGAGCCGTGCCATGGAAAATAAAGGCAGGAGTGTTAACAGGAAGCTTTCAATCATTTTTTTTCTGCTGGCCAGGCTCTGCATCCCACTGCTCCTTGGTAATCAAGATACTTACAACTTGGAAACTACTTAAATTTACTTGCTCATCTCCTGGAAAAATGATGCTGTCAACACCTTGATGTAGCACATGCTTGAAGGCAAATCATTTAAAATATGATCTTTCATCTCATTTATTACCAATAAAATACAAGCTACCTTGCTCCTTTATGTCTACCCCTACCCCCTGGATGTCTAAAGGCCATCACTTGGGCACAGGAATTCGTTGTCTGTCAAGGTATCCTTATTTTTAGCAATCTCAATATTTTTGACCATCAGCATCCTTTATTTGCTGGCACTCCTGCTTCACTGCACATTATTTCTTCTTCTTTCTGAAAACATATTGTGAAGCACTTTTCTCCCTTTACCTGGCAAGGTGGAACCTTCTACTCAGTGACATTTTTCTTTCAGATAATTTTGGGGAAGGAACTGAGAAAACGGAAATAGTTACTCTCCAAAATGAAAAGTGGATAATGTTGAATGTGCGATCTATTCACAGGATGCTCTGCTAATTATTCAACACCATTAGCTCCCTGACTTAGAATCAGGAAGATTATGTTTTGATGGACGCAATAGCACTTGCAGTCAGTCAGATCTTCTCAGTCTCAACACTATTGATATTTTGGATGATTTGGAGGATGAGACCGCTCTTTGTCCTGGGGGGCTGCTCTGTGCAATTTCCTTTCACATTTACCTAACACCCTTCTGCTCTAAGCTTACCTGGGCCTGGAAGGCAGACCTGAATCCCCAGTGCTGACTCCTGGCTAAGGGTGATCTGCTTTGACAGTG